ACCTACGTACCTACGTACCTACCTACGTACCTGCCTACATACATACATGTACGTATAAAGGCAATTCTACTTTGCCTATACTGCTACGTTACATGACGTACAGACAGGCAGACAGACAGACCGACGGACAGATTGACAGGCAGCCAGGCAAAGAGGCAGATATGCACACGTACATGAACAAGCATACATACATACATGCATGCATACACACCTTACATACACATAAACAAACGCATTGATACATTCACGCATATTTACATGCATACATTTACGCACAGCACGCGCTCACATGGTCACGTACCTGTCTACTCTTCTGTCGATCGATCGACCTATCTCCCTATCGATCGATCTATCTATCTATCTATCCATCTGTCTATCTATCTATGTATATATCGTTCTTATCTATCTATCTATCTATCTAGCTAGCTAGTTATCTAGCTATCTATCCATCTATCTATCCATCTATCTGTCCATCTATCTACCTATCTACTTCTCTATGCGTCCATCTCTGGCGTGTGGGGCTGGGACTATATACATATATGTACATAAACGTATATGCATAGACATATATATGTGTGTGTATATATATATATGTATCTGTATATGTTTCTGAATCTATATGCATTTTTGTTCGTATGTACCTGTATACTGTATGTATTTTCAGAGAGGAAAACCATTGCGCGCATGTGTTTCCTTGTCTACGATTTGTATTGACCTAAGTGTGTCGCTGGTTTAGACTTAGCTTGTTTAGCACATGCTTGCCGACCCTTTCAATACTCGAGGCTTGCTGTAACACGACACGATGTCTTGGCAAGTCTCTCAACCCAAATGGTGCATCTGAGGCAAATTCCGACAGAGATCGATCCATTCCTGTTGCACCTGTACTCCTGCTGCATGTTCGGCTGCAGCATGCTGCAGCTGTCGAGCTGTGTCTGCGAAGCTTCTGCTTTCTGATGCATGTGTTGATAGTAATTTTGGGCAGAACTGACAGCACGAGCAAACCCTTGGCCTTGATTGTAGTACGCTGCACGCCCGGCACCGGAATCCTTGTGCTTTTCACGCTTCGAGAGCATTCAGTCATGCGATCCTCCATCTGGCCCACCCAATCTTCAGCAGCAAATCTCACCCTGACAAGCCCTATCTAGACGCCGTTGCCATGCCACAAGCATCCTGGTCTTACGAACTGACATGCTTTTTTGCTAGGGCCCTGCGCACTTTTTTGCCGCTTCTGCGCCGGTTCAAAAGCAAGAAGTCGTACCAGCCTTGCAACTACTCTGTAACGTTCGTAGGGGTTACTGCTAGATTCGGTGTGGTCCGCAATTTGAGGGAAGTGTCTTGTGGTAGTGTCCATCCCAAAAAACAGGAAACTGCATACCGCGACGACGACCCTGCGCAACTATTCTATCCTTGTAAGCCGAACGAAAGATACTACTGTGAGTAGGATCTGAACGGTCTTGCTTCAACACTTCAACCAAGGTTTGGTATTTGTTTCAATTCAGGTTTTCGGAGGCAGGAACTGGCTTATCAGCTTGCATCCAAACTTTGCGGCTTAAAAGCCTGTTAGTGGTAAGAGGCCTTGAGACCTCTTCTTCTTCTTCGAAGGAATCGGTAATATTGTCCGTCCATGTTTCAGAGTTGCTTATCAGTACGGGTTATGGAATATCTAGCCCATATAGAAGTACCGGGACAATGTCGGCATGAGTACACTTCTCGATTTGTGCATGTCATCCTTGCGCAGGGGCCATGCTCATCTTCTCTGTATCGTTCCAGGTTAATCGAATGATCCCCGAAGGGAATCCTGACGTGCGCGGTCTAGGGCCTTCGTTGCCATCCTCGCCGCTCCTACAAAGCAAGCAAGGCGGCAGCAGGCCAGCAAGGCAAGCAACCGTGCACTCGGAGATCGGCAGACAGACAAACATGTGCACAGACAGACAGACAGACAGACA